CCAGGCCCCCGTCGTTCCACTCTAAGAGACGCCTATGGCAGCTCCGACACCCTCGCTGGCTGCGGCACCTTCGCTCCCTCCCGTCTGCGTGGCTGTGCTCCCCAGTGGCCTCCACATGCCACCTAAACCCCTGCTGAGTGTTTCTTCCCACAGATCACTGGCAAATGTCTTCAAAACCAGTGGCCTCTGACCCCTGCAAGTGGAAGAGGGCAGGGTGTTTCATTCTAGCCTTGCAGCATCCTCCGGATGAAACCACATTTGGAGCTGCCACAGCCCTGGGGCCTGGGCTCCTTTCCTTCCTCCTCTCCTCTCCTGAGCCTGCCCATGTCAAGGGTTCTGTGGCCAAGGGGCCTGAGGGAGGTAAGGGGTGGGTGATATCCAGGTTCACGGCGCCCCTCCAGGCATGCCCCATCCGGCTGTGAGTCCCACAGACATGCCAGCCCTGGGAACACAAACCTCAGAGTCAGGCACTCACCCCATAAGGCAGCTCTCATGCACAAACAATTGTGCCCTAGGTCAGCGCCCAGGAGGCCTGGCTGTGTGCCATTTGCAGAAGCCACGAGTGTGTTTGGAGACACATTTCTCTCTGGCACTGGGACTGCCCTCCAAAGGTCCACTTTTGTGAGAGAAGAAGCTGTGCCACGACGGAAGGGCGGATGCTCCTTCCCACCCGCCCACAGCACTGCGTCGGTGAGCACGTCGGTGGGCTCGTCGGTGAGCATGCCGCCTTCCACTGCCCCAGCATCCTTGCCTTTCAGTGGGTTGATCCTGAACACCTTCAAGGGCCTGAGCCAGGAGGAAGCAGCTCATGAACGTGAAGATACTCACCCCAGAGCAGAGCTGTTAGTTGACAGAACATCTGTGAGTTCTGGTCACTGACTAGTTTTGTTTTTTTCTGTGTGTTTTCTGGGTCTTTGCCTCCCATTCCCTTCTAAGGGCCAGTGCATCTGTACCATGGTGGTGGCCATCTAAATCATGGGTGGTGGCCAGCAGTGGGGAGAGTGCCTGGAGCCCCACACCCTGGAGGCTGGGCTGGTTTGCAGCCAGGTGTGTGCTCTGAACTCTGGCACTCTGGGTGTGGCTGAGTGGACCAGGCTGAAGACTGAACCCAGCCTTCCTTCTAGGAAATGTGGAGTTGGGAGTGAGGGGGGCACAGAGCCTGGGAATCAAGGGCTCAGCTGCACGCCCTGTGATGGCACAGAGGGGCCCAGTCTGCAGCGTGGGGGCGTCAGGGTGGCATGTGGTGGGCTCAGGTGTCTGGGGCCAAGCACCCCTCCTGCCCACTGCCCCAACTCTGAGTCTCTGCACACATGCCCTGCTCTTGGCCATGGCACCAGCAGGTTCCTGAGTCACTCGCACCTCTGCCATCCGACATGTCTTCACAATGCAGGGCACGTCTCAGGGGCCCCACCGTGTGCCCCAGGCGGCTGTGAGGTGAAGCGTCCATCGATCCTCTACAAAGGCAGCTTGGTCATTGCAACCTCAGCCTCACTCAGAGAGGAACTTCATCAGACGCATGAAGAAGGCTTGGTGAGTGTCACGCGGCTCAGCCAGGCTTCCCTTAGGTCTTGGCACGGCCCTTCCAGGTCAGGAGGAGGAGGACCGTGGGGACTGGCAGCGGTTCTCAGCACTGCTGTTCGGTGTGGGCTCCTCGGAGAGGCTTCCATCTCACCAGGGCGCCCACCTCACTTGTGCGCCGACGACTCTCTCCTGTTAAAGGAACTTCGCGCTTCGTGAGCAGGTGAGGGGCTTGATGGGCAGGGGGCGTCTGCTTGCTTAAGGGCCAACCCAAAAAAGAAGGTTGGTTTATTTTGGGTACTGAGGGAGCCTCTCAGAACCCGTGGGATATTTCAGGTCATCACAATGATGAAGGGACACAAGTGATATTGATCAGACAGGCACCAAGGACACCAGGTCCCCCGCCAGGCACAGGACTCACCCACAAGGCAAATGCTGTCCCGAGGGCCACGTGGCTTTAGCCCCCACCAGACGTTGACAGGTGGAACTCCTGCATTCAGTGGTCCAGGCCTGAACCCTCACTCTGCTCTCCATGAAATCATGAAGAATTCCTTCTGCAGCTTTATGTACATTACATGTCAGAAATGCAACAGTGGAACAGCTAACACTTTGTGACATTACCAAGAGGTTTTCACCATTTACAAAGTTATATCACATTGCTATGCCGCTCGTGACATGCAAGTCACAAATGTGACACTTCCGTGTCTGTATGCTGTTTGTAGCAGCCACATTCGTGGAGATTTTACATGCACGTGTGTGCACACATACAGATACAGCCACTTGACCCTGATTTCTAAATTGTTGAATATACATAAATTGAATATTGTCTTACTTTTTGTACCCAAGCTCATTTTTCACTGTGTGTGCAGGTATAGCTGTTTTGAAAGTTTTACAAATTGAAATATACATATGTATATATACACAGAGAAAAAAATTCCCTTTATTTCTCCAGGGTACTTTTATTTAATTAATTAATTTTATTTATTTATTTATTTATTTATTTATTTGAGACTGAGCCTCCCTCTTATCACCCAGGCTAGAGTGCAGTGGCACAATCTCGGCTCACTGCACCCTCCACCTTCCGAGTTGAAGCAGTTCTCCTGCCTCAGCCTCCTGAGTAGCTGGGATTACAGGTGCCAGCACACCTGGCTAAGGTTTGTATTTTCAGTAGAGACAGGGCTTCACCTTCTCGGCCAGGCTAGTCTCAAACTCCTGACCTCAAGTGATCCACCTGCCTCGGCCTCCCAAAGTATTGGAATTACAGGTGTGAGCCACCGCACCCGGCCTATTCCACCATTATATTATAGTGACATCATTATATTGATTATTTTTTTAAAGTGTGCTCTGTCTGGTAGATTATATAATCCAGGTGTAATTTCACTTCATGGTAATCAAGGGATCCTTAGAAATTGTTGTTAGGAAAGGGAGGAGTTTGTCCATGGGGTTCGGCACGGGGCCGGGGCTGCTCACCTGTGGACCCCACTCTCGCAGCCAACCTGCGCTGAGGGCGCTGTCAGTCAGCGGGAAACACACACCGATTCTGAAGACTTACTGTGACAAAGACTCCAATATCCCATCCATGTCTTCATATTGATTTCACATTGATTACATGTTGAAATGATCATATTTTTGATATATGAGATTAAATCTGATCCATCTGCTGCCGAGTTTATCTGTCACCCATGGGTCCATGGATGTGTCATCTGCTTACTGATTCATCTATCATCTTCCATCTCGCTACCTGATTATATTAAAAGCCATGAGTCGAAGCTGCTGCCTCTGCTGTCAGCCCCACTGTTTGCCTGAGCCCTTTCCTGGCTGGGCAATCTCTGCCTTCAGTGCATGACACCCATGCACCTGCCCTCCTGGCCGCCTGGTCCCCACCCGCAATGGGACAAAACGCTCCACCCTGGGAAAAGGAGTACAGGGAAAGGCCGTTAGCATACTGGGCTCTGAGCAGCCCCCACCTGTCCCCATGTCTTGCTCCGGTCTTCCAGGAAGGGACGGGGTTCCTGCCCTTTTGCCCCTCATGAGTCAGGCCATGGCAGCTCACGCTCCTCACCTGAGCCACACGTGGACACTGGTTTGCTTGGTTTGTGAAAACTACTAGAAAAGACATTTTCCCTCCCTCTCCCATTGGGAGGAAGCAGTCAAAAAACATTTTCCTGGCATTGAAACCATCTGTGCTATGAAAGCCACCACCTGTGACTTCTCTCCAAAACCTGCTTCCCAGCCTCCTTCTCAGAGCCAGAGCGATTGCTGATAGGAAGTGGAGTGTTATTCTCAGTCTGTGCCTGTGCCCCACACATTCCTCTGCACATGCTTTCCTCCTGGGACCCTGCTCTTGTCCCCACTGGGTCCAAGAGGGCACATCTGTCGCTGGGGGCCCAGTGGAGATGGGGCAGCCCCAGCAGACATCCTTCCAGCAGAGGAAGCTGTGGGCAGCTGTCTTCACCTCCATCCCCCTGTGAGGCGGAGAGGGGCCCCGTGGCAAAGTGCCGCTTCAACTTGCCAGCCTAGCCCCAAGGCAGGCAAGCCACAGGCCAGTCCCCATAGCTGTTCCGTGTCTCCTTTATGGCTGAGATCCTTCTG